TCATTGTCACAGTATGCATCTTTGCATTGTTGTTGTTGTTGTTGTTGTTGTCTGCAAGTTGTTCGCAAACGGAATCCCTTCTCTTCAGAAGTGAAGATGCAGTCCAGGAAATCTTCCCAAAGATCGCCAAGATCCACTACTCTACCGATAACTCCCCTTTCATTTCCGCTAGCTCTGAGCAGGAAACTCCTCACCGGCGTTCACGGAGCACTCTCCTTCTCAAACGGTTTTTGATTATAAAGGCGGTCTCCTGATTCCTGTTTACATGTTTATCAACATGTCCACAGAATAAATAAAAATTAGCGTTGTGATTTTTTTGTGGTTTGCGGAATAAAGCCTCTTTTTGGTTTATGATTCATTCTCCCTCGGTTTCTTGACCGGAATACTTGGCTGCGGAACTGCTGTGGTGTTAATATTTAGGTCTTAATAGATTAGTGAGTCCTTTCATGTCGCGTAGACGAACTTCCTCCTCTTGTTCTTCCGACTACGACGAAGAGTCCGAATTGCCGAAGATGCCGAGACTGCAAAGAAGAAGTCGCTCATTGAGAGACATCGTGGACATCTTTCGTAGTCGCTCAGTCTTTCCTGGAGCAGTCCTCGCCTTCTTACTCTGTAACGATGTTAGAACCAATCGCAGATTTGGCTCGCCAGATCGCTGATCTGAGCCCCGGACCAGAAGAACACGAGGTCGCAGAAAATCGAGGAGCACGCGAGGAAGACGTAGTCGTTGATATCGAAGGATCTCAAAACCCAGAGTCAGCAGATGAGTGGCATGAAGGAAATATTCGTGACGATTCTCCAAGGACTATCTGTCCCTTTCTAAGTAAGTGCGGCTTTATAGCAATGTGCAGCCAAATTTTACAACTTGATTCTTTTCAGCGTCCCGAGCAAAAATTACTGTATTTTACTAATTTCAAACTGCATTTCGGAGTGAGCGAGGAAATGGCAAGGTATATGGATGATTTATTTCATGTTGTAAGTGGTGCAACCTTGGCAGAGCCGGTTAGTTTCATTTTCAGTTCCGTTGTTGGTGTTTTCAGGGTTTTCTTTTTTATTCCGTTGTTGCTGTTTTCAGGGTTTTTTTTTGATATCACATGCTATGCGATCGCATTTACTTCGTGGAAAACATTTTGCCGTAAAGTAAAATGTACTGGCTAGATGGTGCACAAGCCGCACATCACCCCACGCTCAAACTTTACAGAATTGGGGGAACCATGGTTTTTGTGCGGTATGGCGGAGGAAAAGATTAGGGCGAGGGTTTTGGATTGAACCAATGAGGAAGAAGAGATTGAGGAGACGGACGTAAATGTCAGTATGTTAATAGATAGTTTTAGTTCCTGTTCTCCTTTGAGCAGGCTGACTGATGGGTCACACAATGTTGGCTATTATGATAATGGGTCAGTTCTGTTTTACAAATTAGAGATTCACTGAGAGTAA